CAGAGGTGAATTTTAGCAACAGGTTTGTTGATTGTGAGCTCTGTGCCTTGCTTTTTTTTGCTTTTTTTTTCTGCCTCTGAAACTTCTGAAACTCTGTTTCAGAAAAAAACTTTTTTGTGTGTGTGCCTTTGAAAGCCTCTGAAACAGAGCTTCAGAAAAAAAGGCTTTTTACTGAAGCTCTGTTTCAGAGGCTTTTTTTCTGAAGCTTCGTTTTGGAGGCTTTTTTTCTGAAGCTTCATTTCTGAGGCTTTTTTCAGCCTCTGAAACCTCCGTCTGAGCGGCTGGGCGGAGCTACACTCGGAGTATAAGACGCACCCAGATTTTCACCCTCTTTTTTGGGGGGAAAAGGTGTGTTTTATAATCCGAAAAATACGGTAATCATCACTCACAATCTGTTGCAAGAACAACAGTCACAACGACAGCAGGGCTATCCTCATAATCCATCTCTTCGTGCCTTGAAGTAAAGGGAATTGGTATAGCCCTTGCTACGTGAGGAAAAACTTCACATAAGTTATGATAGACGAATTAAAACTGTTTGTGAAGGTCTCCTTGCAACCCCAAGCAATCAAATTAAAACCTGGACTAATGCCACAAGACTTGGCTGTTTTTGTCCAATATTCCCGCCTTCTTTAAAACAAGAAAACTGAAAGATTGCTTTTTGAGTTTGCTGAAGAAAAACCGCACCATTTGCAAGAGAGCGTACAAAATCTCAGCGTCCTTTCAGGACGATGCAAAGTCCAACTTCAAAGGGAAGTCTGGCCCAGATGAGCTTCAAAATTATGAAGCATTACTTTAAGAAAAACAGTAACATCAACCCTCAAACTCAACCCCTCAAAAGCTCCAAAAACCGTTTAAATCAGGCATTCATCCGTAATGTGTTTCAGGGTTTAACAACTTCGTGCAATAACTTGAACCTGAAACCACTTACTTGGGAGAAATCTCAAATCAACTCAAGGAGATTGACTTCTGTGTATAAATATCTGCGGACAGACTCTGTTCCTTTCTACATAGACTTAACTAAAAAGATTCAACTTAATTCAACTTGAAGCATGCTTCAAGTTGAATGTTCCTGCAGTTTTCTTGGCAGGAGAGCATTAGTCATTTGTCATTACCTTCTCGTGGGATGATTTTCAATTTCCTGTTCTAGCCTCTAAGCTTTATAGCTTCTCCTCCAAGAACTCAGTAGGCCTCGTTCTTCGTAGCTTTTGGAGATCTGCCAAGGTTGGTTAGGTCCTTCCACTAAGCTGAGCACCAGCCTTAGCTAGAAGAAATATGCAGTAGCAACAGTAATAATTTCAAAATAATGATAAAACTCGCCTGCTCTCTGTTTTAGTCCATGAGCCAAGCAACATGGTTACCTTTCATTCCCTACATGGAACAGGTCTCATGGGTTGAGCCTGGAACCTCCAAAACCAGCTATGGTATACATGGAGTTATTTGTACCTAGAACGTCTCACAGGTTGCCACGGCTTAGCTATTATGGGATGAGCCAAGGCCAACTAGCCAAATGCAACAGTTTCAAAGGTGCTTTTCGAGAGGCAACTGGACTTTCTGGTTTTCCTTTGAAGATGTTTTGTTTCTCATCCAAGAAGCTTCTTCAGCTCTGTTGGACAACTTGTTCTCCCAAATGAAACCCAACTAGTTGGAAAACATCTCTACTTCTCAGAATCTTTTTTTTTTTTAATTTGATTTATATGCCGCCCTTCTCCGGAGACTCAGGGTGGCTTACAATGCGTTAAGCAATAGCCTTCATACTTTTGTATATTTATACAAAGTCAGCTTATTGCCCCCACAAACTGGGTCCTCATTTCACCTACTTTAGAAAGGATGGAAGGCTGAGTCAACCTTGAGCCTGGTGAGATTCGAACCTGCAGAAATTGCAGGCAGCTGTGTTAATTACAGGGTGCATTAAACCACTGTACTACCAAGGCTCTTTGAATCTACTTCTTCATCTTCTGGATCAAGTGATGATAGGAATGAACAACAGTAATGTTCTTGATATTCTCATACAGCCATCATCCCCCCTTCACAGTGGCCTTGATCTATGGCAACAGTGTTGACTGTCGCAATTAAGTTGTCGTTCTTTTCCTGTGCCAATCTTGTATGAAAATCCATCGGTGATTTCGTCTATCTAGCCCAATCTTTATTTGGGAGAATGAGTTGTCCAACGGAGCTGAAGAAGCTTCTTGGATGAGAAGCGAAACGTCTTCAAAGAAAAACCAAGAAAGTCCAGTTGATTCTTGAAAAAAGCATCTTTTGGACAACCATGACTTGGATGACTGAGAATCTCCATAGACATTCCTTTTGCTTCTCATCCAAGTAGCTTCTTCAGTTCAGAAGAAGAAGAAGAAGAAGAAGAAGAAGAAGAAGAAGAAGAAGAAGGAAGAAGAAGAAGAAGAAGAAGAAGAAGAAGAAGAAGAAGAAGAATTGAAGAAGCTTCTTGGATGAGAAGCAAAACATCTTCAAAAGAAAAACCAAGGAAGTCCAGTTGACTCTTGAAAAAGCACCTTTGGGACAATCATGACCTGGAGGACTGAGAATCTCCATAGACAAATGCAACAGGTAACTGTTCTCTACAAACCATGCATGGGACACGACTATCAAAACTTCTCAGATGACTTGGTCATGAACAAGGCAGTTCAGCAACGCAAAAACCCCAAAACGTACTAGTCTAATTGATGGTCTTGTTTAGGTAAACTTTAAATATTTCAAAGGATCATGTTGCTATCTGAGATTAGGAAAAAGAAAAGACATCCACATATGGAAATTTCCTCCAGAAAATCTGGGCTTCCAAGAGCTTTACGAGGGAACCCAGAATAATCCTGGTTTAATCCTGAAGATTACAATCTTCATGCTGTATATTATAAGCATTATAACAAGCATTCCAAAGGAAGCATCCCTTAGATGCTTTCTTTCTCTTTTCTCCACAACAGGTTTTCCTTTGGGCGAGAAAAAAAAAGAAAATTGGAAATGAAAAGCAAAGGGAAATTTTCCTTCTCTGAAAATTTCAAATTTCTATAGACAATAATGTATCCCAATCTACCTCCTACGGTTGTGGTTTGGAAACGGGAAGGGGAAGAAAAAGTACTGAATTGACCACCTTTTTTTCTCCTGAGCGTAAAGTGGAACATAAAGTCTAACAAATCACTGAAAAAGCACAACGGATTTCCGTCTAAGTTTTATTCTAAAGCAGGACGAACGACCCACAGATATTTGGCTTCCGACTCAATTTTTTTTTTCTCCTGACTTCAAAATATCTTTCAACCACAGCCCCGAAATCCCCAAAGCTTCTGGCTGAATATCAGTATCATCACCAGGTGGGAACAAGAGTAAAATACAGGTAGTTCTTGACTTACGACCAAAATCGAACCCCACATTTCTAGGCAGTTGTTTTACGACCTTTCTTGTCCATTTGTTAAGCCGGTCCCCACACTTGTTAAGTTAGCATAAAGTTGTAACGTTAGTTATAATGGGAATCTGGCATCCTCGCTGGCTTTGATCATCAGAAGGTCGCAAAAGGGGACACCGCAACTGTCATAAATACGAGTCAGCCACCAAGCATCCGAATTTTGATCACATGACCATGGGGATCAATGGTGGGTTTCAAAAATCTTTACTACTGGTTCTGTGGGTGTGGCTTGGTGGGCATGGCAGGGGAAGGATATTGTAAAATCTCCATTCCCACCCCACTCCAGGGGAAGGATACTGTAAAATCTCCATTCCCTCTCCAATCCAGGGGAAGGTTACTGCAAAATCCCCATTCCCTCCCGATCAGCTGGGACTTGGGAGGCAGAGAATAGATGGGGGCGGGGCCAGTCAGAATTTTTACTACCGGTTCTCCGAACTACTCAAAATTTCCACCACCGGTTCTCCAGAACTGGTGAGAACCTGCTGAAACCCACCTCTGATGGGGATGCTGCAACAGTCATGTAAAAAACAGCCTAAGTTACTTTTTTCAATACCATTGTAACTTCGGTCACTAAAGAAATGGTTATAAGTCAAGGGCTACCTGTAGTCATTTAAGCCTGAGGCTGAGATTTCATTTCACCAAGGTTTTTTTTAAAAAAATATTTAAAACAAAAGCAAAATACCTTTTCAATACAGGCAGTCCTCGACTTACAACAACTCATTTAGTAACTGAAAAAAGTGACTTAGAACCAATTGTCACACTTACGACCGTTGCAGCATCCCCTGATCAAAATTCAGATGATTGACAACTGGTTCATACTTTATGACGGTTGCAGTGTCCTGGGGTTGTGTCACGTGATCTTCTTTTGTGACCTTCTGACAAGCAAAGTACATGGGGAAGCCAGATTCACTTAACAACCGTGTGACTCATTTAACAACCGCAGGAATTCACTTAACGATGACAAGAAAGGTCGTAAAATGAAACTAAGCTCACTTAACAAATGCCTCACTTGGCAACATAAAAAGTCTGGGCTCCATTGTGGTCGTATGTCGAGGACTGCCCTGTATCCACAGAAAATGTCAGAACAGCAGAGACGTCTGGCAAAGCCTGCCTTATTTCACACACGTGTGTCAACATGCTACCGCCATGTTGCCTTTTTCAAACATCCCCTGGGCATGGCATTGTCCTCCCCAAGAATATTCCGAGCTTGGCCACTTCGTGTCTCCTTCTCCAGCAACGGAAGGTTGAACAAAATGACAACGCTAAAATAGGAGAGACTGTGGAAAGTGGCCATCTTCCATTTTTTTAACATAAGAAGGACTAAGAAGGCATGGATTTGGCACCAACAGAAAGCCCTCGAGACGCCATTCGCTACTTGAAAACCCACGCTTGTTCCATTTTGCCCTGCTTGCTGGGGCTGATGGGAGCTGTAGTTCCACTCTTTATCCCCCTCCACCTCCTGTTCAGCACTTCTTCATGTCTCCCTTCCCATCTTTTTTTAACTGGCCCGTACGACTAATAGGCCGTGGTCCCACATATTCTAGAATAAACCATCTTCGTTAAAACAGACACACAAAATCCAGTTTTCATCTGTTGGAGGGGAAAAAAAATGTATTTGATTACTGGCAGAAAATTACAGTCTCTCTCCGCTGTTAGTAAGTATTAAAAGGATAAAGTTACTGGACTTATTTCTTTTTTCAGGCTTTCCAAGAAAGTGCATATAACAGTCCAAAGGTATTTCTGTTTTTTTGTTTTTGTTTTTGTTTTCCTGTCGTACCCAATACAAAATAAACAACACTGCAGTTATTCCCTTAGTCAAGACGTTGATCTGGCTGAGAAGATATGTACATTATTATTATTATTATTATTTTTAATGATCTTGATATTTCTCACCGTATGTACAAGGAACATCTTAAGTTGTCCATGGAAGGTGTGGTTTGAGATCATCTTAGCAGCACAACAGTACTTATTTTTTTTTATTTTTTTTTTAATAATATACCTACGAGGCAGAGGGTTTCGAACTAGCAAAACAACACTGTGGGGTTTTCGCTAATCATCTCGTGCTTCTTTACTGTACAGAAACAAACGGACATCTAAAGACGACTCCAGTAAAAAAGCACAATACAAAAAAAATAAAAAAATAAAAAAAAATAAGGACTGTTTCTAAAGGGGACAAAAGAAATCTACCTAATCGTAATCGTAGCCAATTTAATTCGTCGTCGAGTAAAAAAACAAACAAACAAAAAAATTTCCAACGAAACCAACGAAAATCAAATCGAGCCCGTGGCGAAGGAATGGGTGTCCTTCGGGGGTTTTTTGTTTTTTGTTTTTAAACGTGGTCCGTTGCTGGTTGTGCAATTAAAGCAACCTCTTTGCCAAGAAACGTTTCCGTTGGGATGGAAGGGCCCGCACAGGTACGTGCGTTTGTTTGCATTTACCCGCGCGGGAGGAGTGAAGTGTGGCGGAAAAGGACTGGAGGAACCGCACGACCAGCAAAAACGGCTTAGGTTAAAACTGGAAGGAGAGAAATAAATTAAAAAGCCAGAACAGAGAACCGCCTGGCCAAAACAGACTTGTGTTGCCATAAATGTTACAGCACTCTAGTCAATTAGTATTTACTTCAACTTACAGAACTTGTAACGCTTGCATATCCCTGCAAAGCCATGAACAAACAAACGAACAAAACAAAACGAAAAAAAGTTATGATCACTAATAAATAAGCTGTTTTTTTGTTTTTTTTTTAGAACTCTAGATGTCGAACAGGTACAAAAAGGATGTGTCTTTAATGTTTCTGTGTCGTGGATTTGCCAAAACAAACAAAAACAAACAGGGGGAAAAAAAATTCCCGCAACGCAACCCCCTCCCCAACCCACTTTCAATTGCAACAAACTGCACCAAAGTATCCGCAACCTTTTGTCCTAACTCGTTACAATCTCTTTGCTGTCCTCCACAAAGCGGGTGAGACGGAAGCTGGTCCCGTTTTCGCTGCCTGCCATCTTCTCCAGGCCAGCTAGAGGCGCGTTAGGTTCCGAATCCTGGAATTTCTCCAGGCTGCCGGTCAAACCGCTAAGCGGGGAGCTGCTGCCATTGCCCAGGCTCCCGGGAACGGGGGCGATCCCCCCGTTCTGGATGACTGAGATCTCGTTGGTCTTCATGGCCAAACCATTGGAGAGGGCTGCAGCGTATTGATTCCAGAAGTTGGAAGCGTCACCGTTTCCCGACCTCGCGGCCAAATCTTTTGGAAACATGTCTGGAAATTTGACGGGGTTGCTTCCGAGGAAAGTCATGGGCCCGTCCACGGAGAGCCGTCTGCCTCGCCTGGCAGGGGTGCTGTTCCACATGTGCGTCCCCATGTGCACCTGAAAGAGACACGGGTTAGCAGCGGCAGTGAGGTAGGGTCAAGGGAGCCTTGAGTGCAGTAGCCTCTTCTCTCTTGAGTTTTGTTGTCTAAGCCTAGGGGGTGTCTCCAAACATGGCCACTTGAGGATTTGTGGACTTCAATTCCCAGAATTCTTCAGCCAGCATGGAATTCTGGGAATTGAAATCCATTGGCTGAGGAATTCTGGGAATTGACATCCATAAGTCTTAAAGTTGCCAAGTGTAAGCATAGAACGTATAACATAGAATCACAGGGTTGGAAGAGACCTCAGTCCAACCTCCTGCTCATTGCAGGAGCCTCATACCATCCCGGACAAATGGTTGTCCAGTCTATTTTTGAAAGCCTCCAGTGATGGAGTACCACAACTCCCAAGAGGCAACCTATTCCATTGATTAATTGTTCTCACTGTCAGGAATTAGTTCCAGGTGGGATGTCTCTTTAACAAGCTTCCACCCATTACTCCTTGTCCTGCCCTGAGGTGCTTTAGAGACGTCTCTTTGACAGTCTCTCAAGGACTGGGAGATAGCTAACCTGTCATCCTCAAGTCTTCTCTTTGATGAACTAGACATCTCTCTCCCCCTCAGCCATTCGCCATATGGTTTAGCCTCCAACATGAGGAAGTTATTCCTCCAGATGTTGAGGATTTACAACTCAAAGCCTTCTTCACTATTGGCTGTCCTACAGCAGCTGGGAGGGGGCAATTGAGCAACATCTGGATAACCACCTTTGGTCTAAGGTGGGAATCAAGAACATTACCTATCAACATCACCTGACAGTGAAAACAATTAATCAGTGGAACAACTTGCCTCCAGAAGTTGTGAAAGCCCCAACACTGGTTGTTTTTAAGAAGAGATCGGACAACCATTTGTCTGAAATGGTATAGGCCAGGGTTTCCTGCCTGAGCAGGGAGTTGGGCTAGAAGACCTCCAAAGTCTCTTCCAACTCTGCTATTCTGTCCTGTCCTATTCTTATTCTGCTCTACTCTATTCATCAACAAGTAAAGTTTGAGGAAACTCTAGCTCAAATCAACAGGATAGCAGGCTTCTTATCTCTGCCTTTGACTGGGTGAGTCTCTTATCATCACAAGTCTTGTTTTCCTATCCCAAGTAGATCTACAGTGGATCTGAAGATACACACCACACAATGACTTTGCTAAAAAAACCCAACATTTGATCCATGATTGAGCAGGACTCGAGTAAATTTCAAAAGTATTACTACCTTGAGTTAGTTTCATGTTGGAGAGAAAATGACCTGAGATGACCTTGAAGGGCCATGAATGAATACATGAATGAGGCCAGAATCCAATTTAGAAGAAGGTCAAGATTTCACTGATTGAAATACAGGTAGTCCTCGACTTACGACCACAATGGAGCCCAAAACGCCTGTTGTTAAGCGAGACAGTTGTTAGGTGAGTTCTGCCCCATTTTATGACCTTGCTTCCCCATTAAATTTGCTTGTCAGAAGGACGCAAAAAAAATAACCACATGACCTTGGGTCATAAATTTGAACCGGTTGTCCAGCATCTGAATTTTTGAATGGTCACTAAACAAACTGTTGGAAGTTGGGGACTAACTGTATTTCTTTATTTGCTGCTCATTTCACATACATGGAGGCCAGGGGTCCGAACAAATTCGAAGTGGCAGTCGTAACAGTGTTTAAACGACCCTGGCACTGGTATGTTTTAATTTCATATTTTTTGCAACCATTTCTGGAGGAATGCTCAGCCAAGCAATGGGATGGGCAGGAGAACAAAAATCCATTTAAAAGTTTCTTTACCAGCCCTTTCAAATTATACGGGAGTCAGTAATAAAATCGAGAATCTTAAAAGAGCTGGTAAAAACTTTGCCCCAGCCAAATACAAATAGTAATAAGAATAACAAAAGAACTAATTTCTCATTTGGTTAGAAGCTGCATTTCACAGGGACCTCTAAAGTTTGAATTTCTATCTTGTGAAGCACAATTTGGGCTTCCTAGGGATGTGAACGTGCCTCTCTCTTGTTTAACACCAGGCAAGTTCGGGTGAGAATTTCGAAAAGGATTTTTTTTTAAAAAAAAAAAAATAGGGATGAAAGGCGTAAGGAAGGAGTTACAAAGGAAGTCACCATCAGGAAAATTATGCCGGAGGATCAAAAGAAAAGGATGGAGAGAAAACCAATCAAATCCCGATCCATCAACACTTACAAATATATTAATCCTTCTCCTCCCATAACTTTTCCAAAAATCCAAAAACAAACCCATGTCATTTTTGGATTATATTGCCACAAGGATAGCAAGCACATGTATGTTCACACATACCCAGACATACAAACACATGTTAAAGTAGTTTTTATTTACGTCCAGTCACTTAGTGACTGTTTGAAGTTCTGATGGACCTATGGGGGGGGGAGAACAGGGGGTACTTAGGACCCCAGATTTGAAGCTCCAATGATCTGAAATCCCCTTTCCCCACTCATGTGACACCCCCTCCCCTTCAGATGTTCATCAACCGGAGTGTTGCAGTGTCCTTCAGTCTCGTGATGATATTTTAGGATGGTTTTGCCAAACACTGGTATTTACTTCCAGTCTGCAGCAAAAAACCCACCTGTAGCAAACCAGAGATTCGCTTAACAACTGTGGATTCGCTTAACAACTGTGGATTCGCTTAACAACTGCTACAAAAAAGCTTTCAAAATTATGACTGAATTATTTTGAATTACTATTATTCGAAACTCACAAGTTTTGAACGTGATGGGGCAAAACAGTCGTAACCCAAGCGCTACCTGTAAATCCTTTAATCTATTCATACCTAAGAAAAGAACCTGTTCCTCTAATTTTTTAAAAAAAACATTATATGCTTATTCCAGGATTGGTAATCTAAGGGTTATGCGCTATTGCTTAGCACATTGTAAGACGCCCTGAGTCTCCGGAGAAGGGCGGCATATAAATCAAATTAAAAAAAAAAAAAATACGATTTCTGGCTGCAATTTTATCACTTGATAAAAGAAAAAAAGCATGGAAGATATACGCCCACCAGAACGTGCCATCACTTCTCCACTTGGACCATGGTTTCAGAACGCATGGATATAGCCATTCACAAGCCACATGAAAACCCTACTGGTTATACAGGCAGTCCTTGACTTATGACCACAACTGAACCCAAAATTTCTGTTGCTAAGCGAGACATCTGCGAAGTGAGTTTTGCCCCATTTTTAAGACCTTTCTTGCCACAGCCGTTAAATGAATCCCTGCAGTTGCTAAATGAGTCACAGGGTTGTTGAGTGAATCTGGCTTCCCCATTGATTTTGCTTGTCCGAAGGAGATCCCGTAACCCCGGGGAAGGGCACTGCAACGGTCATAAATATGAGTCAGCTGCCAAACGTCTGAATTTTGATGACGTGACCATGGGTAAGTCGTAACGGTTGTTAAGTGTGAAAAATGGTCATGAGTCCCTTTTTCAGTGCCGTTGTAACTTCAAACGGTCCCTAAATGAAATGTAAGTCAAGGACTACCTGTACAGAAGTCTTATTTATCATGCAAAAATCACCAAGAGAAATCAACAGCCCAGATCCCACACACCACTCATGGTGGCCCAGTGAACGCATCATGCTAAGATCTGGTTTGCTCACCCAGGGTTCCCGCAGGTCCACACCACACACCGAGCCATAACACCACGATTTGCAAAAGACAGTGGGGCTAGATCCACCCAAGAAGGGAAGCCGAATACCAAATCAACCCCGTTATGGCTTGGTGCAAAATGTGGATCCTGTTGGGACGATGTGACACAGGTGGGCAGCTAAAGGGAAAAACAAAACAAAACAGAGCGTTGTAAGATGGAGGGAGGGAGAGTACCTTAAGGTTGCCCTTGGTGGTGAAAGCTCTTCCACAAATTGTGCAGGCGAAAGGCTTCTCCCCTGTGTGAGTCCTTTCGTGGATCTGCAAAGCACTGGAAGACGAGAAGGTCTTTCCACACGCATTGCAGAAGTGCTGCTTGGGTGTCCTCCGAGGCAGAGTTGGAAGTAAGACCGGTGATGTCGCCGAAGGCAGCAGAGGTCCTGAAGGAAGCAAGCTGGGCATTGTCTCTTTGTGGTCCTGAGGAGAGCCATGTACAAAACCGTTGACCTCGGCCTTTATAAGGGACGAGAGAGAGTTTGCAGGTATGACGGAGGAGGAGGAAGAGTTCTGAGCTGGGCCAAGGTTGGAGTTGGGTTCAAAGAGCTGTGATGGTAGATCTCGCATCTGATGTGTCAACATGTGCTGCTTCAAATTACCCTTTGTGGAAAAGCCACGATTGCAGACTGTGCAAATAAACGGTCTCTCTTTGGTATGACTTCTGTAGTGAATGTCCAAGGCACTCTGACAAGCAAACGTTTTGCCACAAATGTCGCACGCCGTGTTCTTAAGCTTGCCTCTGTCGCGGAAAGGAAACAACATGCCCAGCGGCTCTTCCTTCACCATTTTTTCTGGGTTGCCCGAGGTCAAGTCCAAAGCGCCGCCATTGGCAAAGGCGACCGGCCAACCGTTGGCAAAGTCGTTCGGTAAAGTCCGTAGCGGTTTGTCTTCGATGCCCGGTGATTTGTAGAAATCCGTTGTGCTGTTGGATGGGGATAAGGCCTGCATGGAAGAGGTAGACTCCGAAATGGCAGGACTTCCAGCACTTTGACTTTCCATATCACCACCAACCGATGAAGAATCGTTTGTCATCATGTCCCCTTCGACCGATCCATTTTCCACAGATTTTAAACTCGCTTGGAGCTGTTCAGCCAGCCCTGCATTGATCATCTTCATCTGGTTTTCCAAAGCAGCAATACTTGATATTTCGGGGGGCAACGGGGAGGATGATAAACTATCTTGAGACGCGTCGGCAGACTTAGGGGTATCTGGTACGCTACTGTCGGGACAGTCTTCCATATTCTCATCAGAAAAGGTATCCAGATCATCAAAGGTCTTCTCATCAAATGATCCCGTATCAGATTCCATGGACTCGGGATAGTTTTCCGTCACTGGTGTGTTAGGGATCTGGCCCCCCATATGCATCCTGATGTGCTGCTGCAACACAACTGCATTAGTGAACTTTTTCTGGCAGATGGGGCAGGAATGTTGCACTCTCAAGGGTGGCATGGCACGATGGACGCTATAATGGGTCTTGAGGTTGCCTTTCGTAGTGAAGGCCCGGCCGCAGATCTTGCACTTGAAGGGCCTTTCACCAGTGTGCGTGCGGTAGTGCATTTTCAGAGCACTCTGGCAACTGAGCACCCGATGGCATATGAGACACTCGTTTGGGTCGCTTGCCTTTTTGTCTATGTTTTCTACAAGTTGCTGTAGTTTCGAGGTCTCCGAGGCTGGCGTTCCATCCAGCAGCCCTCCAAATGGAAACTTCGCCTTAAACTGGTCGGACATGAGAGGCATCAGCGGACTGGTAAAAGCAACCACGTTGCTGGAATCCGATTCTGCTGCTGGGGAGGTTACGGAGTGGTTCACACTAGAAGAAACACTGGGCATGCTTTCTTCTGGTTTGTCGCCGGAGGACAGCAAAGCACCCGTTTCCCCTTCTGCCAGATGCCCATTCGAGTTCTTCCCCGTGGGATCAATGGAGCCAGAGTCGCTTTTGACAGAAGATGGAGGACTAGATGAAGGGTGACTGATAGGAATGGGCTGAGGCTCCTCCGTTTTGATAAAAGGTGTCAAGCTTGGAATTGTGGGTGGAAGCGGCAGGCCAACAGATGGGGTCAAAGTGGATAACACTGGCTTGTTGTCCAACCAACTGGTGACCGGTTTCTCTGGTGGTATGGACATCCCATACGGGATCCCCGTACTTGTGGGAATGTTGTCTAAATGCTCTGGCACCGGATACGGGTTCATTTGTATGTGAGGGTATTTTTCTTTATGCCGTTGGAAGTGGACTTTTAAATTCCCCTTGGTGGAAAACCGGTTCCCACAGATGTTGCATTTGAAGGGCCTCTCCCCAGTATGAGAACGTAAATGGATCTGCAAGGCACTGTCGCTCCCAAAAACCTTCGCGCAGAACCTGCACTTATGCTTGAAGAAGGCTTCATCCGAATTACTTTTCGTTTCGAAAGCGGCTAGATTGGGCGGCTTGTTTTTCCTCTGCTGGGCCAAAGCAGACAACGGGTTTAAGTCCTCTGTGGTTGTTCCGAGATTGGATAAAGGATTGGGGAACACAGAGTTACTAGGAGTGGGCTGAGGTAGAAGAGGATTTGATACAGGGCTTAATAAACTGCTTATTGCAAAAGCTGGCGATGACGACACGGTCCCTGCCGGGTTGCCAAGCGGTGGACCTCCAGTGTTCACAGTCACTTTGTCGGAAGATGACGTTGTAATCGCTGCGGTAGCTAGGCTAATACTCGGAGATAAGCCGCTACTGGATGGAATCGTAGTGTTGCCAGAATTGCTCTGAGGTAGCTGTAGAGGAGACAGAAGTTTCACACCACCAATGCTGGCAGACTGGCTAGCGAGGCTTTGTGCCAATCCGGCTGCTGCAGCCAGCTGTTGGGATAAATGGGAACTTAATGTCGACAAGGGGTTGGCTGATGCTCGTACTGTACTCTGCGACGGGTTCGGAGACGTTGTTGGCAAGTCAGTGTTCTGGGAAGCCAGCAGTAATATTTGGTGGCGAATTTGTTCAATCAGTTGCAGCTGATGGATCTGTTGCTGTTGCAAAGCCAGTAGTTGCTCCATGAGGGCAGGGACGGCCAACTTGTGGGTTGAGGTGCCATTGCAGCGTGCTTCCTGAGAGAACTGGGCCACCGCTACTTTCGTGCTCTGAAGGTTCTCGATGATGACGTTGCTGTTGATCACGGAGAAATTGCCCAGCATGGTCAGATCTCCCAGTTGAGGTAGAGAGGTTGTAAGAGCTGAGGTACCCTTGGTGGAGCAGTTACTGCTTGCAATAGTACTGTTGACGGTCTGGGAAGTACTGCTAGTGCTTTTGCTAACACTGGAAGAAGACTCTGTATCCATGGTTTCTTCTTTGTCAAGTTTGTCGTCTTGCTCAGGAACGTCGCTGCATTCGACTTGACCCACGTTATTATCTGTGTTGTTCTTCCGTTCATCAGGATTATCTTTAGGAGGGCTAGGAGGGAAGGCTTCCGAAGGAGATACAGAGTTTTCATTCACAATTAAAACGAGTTGATTTTTAGTACAGGTCTTCTTGTGTTGTAGCAGGTCCGGTAGTTCAAAGAACTCGGCGCAACATCTGCCACAGACATGGGCATCCTTTGTCTTGGGGGTCCGGTTGGGCTGACCCTTCTGTGTGTCTCCTATAGACCCAAGGCAAGGGTGGAAAAAAAGAGAAAGCAAGAGAGAGAGAGAGAGAGAAAAGAAGCAAAATTAACAATTGTACAGAAACATAAATAGGTTACAAGGATAAAAGAAGCCAGACAGAGGGACATTGAGTTCATCCCATTCCTAAAGAGCTCTCCCTGTGGAAAAATCCCTTTGGTTCTCCTTTTTTGGAAAAAAAAAAAACATATTGGAAACTCAACCATGTCAACTCAACCAACCCATTGGAGTCTGAAGTTCCCTTCAAGCTGGTTCATCTTTGCCTATTCAAAAATCTCTTGGCTGGTCAGCCTAATGGTAAAGGTAAAGGTTGCCCTCGCACATATGTGCTAGTCGTTCTCGACTCTAGGGGGCGGTGCTCATCTCCGTTTCAAAGCCAAAGAGCCAGCACTGTCTGAAGACGTCTCCGTGGTCATGTGGCCGGCATGACTCAACACCAAAGGCGCATGGAACGCTGTTCCCTTCCCACCAAAGGTGGGCCCTATTTTTCTACTTGCATTTTTTATGTGCTTTTGAACTGCTAGGTTGGCAGAAGCTGGGACAAGGAACAGGAGCTCACCCCCTTACGCGGCACTAGGGATTCGAACCACTGAACTGAATTAATGTGTTGTTATTTAAAGTCAAGTCCATTTTTGTAAAGGTTTTCCTTTTTAACAAGGGACAGGTACAGAGTTATAGTATTTTCTTTCCATGTCACTTAAAGGTGCCCTAGTCTGCCATTGCCTTTAAAAAAAAAAAAAAAGTTGCTAGTGTGAATCTATAGGATACGATGGCTTGTACCTTACTAAGATGATCCTTAAACATTCAATTTTGTGACAGGAAAAGGAGTTCAGAACAAAATTGGTACTGTGCCCATGACCGGTGCAGGTCAACATAATGCCCACGTAACATGTGATAGGTGTTCCACCAATTCTATTCAGCACAACAACATATGATAAGATAATTATTATAATTTTTCTACAAAGGCACACCTGTCTTCTTGCGCCGATTTCAAAAACATAAGCACAGAAAAATAGAACATGGAGCTTTTGAGGTCTTTTAACTAGGAATTGAGATACAGTTGGAATACAACTAGGAATAAATTACAATTCCATATATGTTCGCGCATACAATCCCAGTTCTGCGGGAATAGAGATTTTAAATCTTTCCAACACTCACTGGGTGGCAAATGTACCGTGTCACAATGTGAAATCTAAAAGATAATGTTCCAATCCTCACATTGGACATCAGGTATCAGTTTTCATTGTGACAAACACCACATAATCTCTTTAAGCTACTCTACATGAAATGATAGACAGAAAAGGGGGACATTTCAGGAATCTGATGAAGTCAGATTAAGACATTTATGTACCTTATCTCAAATTTTCATCTAGGAAATCATCTTCTCCCCTTAAGCCACTCCTAGCCTTTGGATGACATGACTTGCTAAAAGTTGGCAAGTAAAACTGTAGACCTGACAGTTTCCCTTTCTTTTTTAAAAAGACATCTTAGTGGCCCAGAAGAAAATCAGGTTTGGACCACCAGATGCACATAAGGTGGAACGAGAACAAAAATGACGTCACAAACATTGTCCATAGCTGAGCTTTAAGACTGTACAAGTAGATCTTTAAATCGACATTCGTGTTCAAGATTATGGGTCTTTCAAATAATCCATAGTAATATAAAATAAAATGAATTGAAGACATGGGGCATAATCAAAACTCCACATCAAGAAACCGATGGTTCTGTCTGTTTTGTTCCGTTTATCACCTAGTGATCCATCAAATGGGAAACTAACCATCTGTTGACTCATTTGACTCTCTTAAGTCTCCTTCAACCTTGTTCATCTTTGGCTGCTTCAAAAAAAAAAAATCTCTTGGACCGTCACCCTATCTATCCCTGAAACTAATCTGTGGTCCTTCAAGGTCTCCAAAAGTGAACAGGTTGGGATGGGGAACTGAAGAGGAGAAAAAGAGTCACCACGTGTCACCAGAGCTTCAGGTTGGCCACAACAACAAAACAATCTTTTGAGCTCTTCAGGAAGACAGAAGCTGACTGTTTCTTTTCCGGCAAACCTCTTGTTTTCCATTTGTTCGTTCTGTTATTTCTAGGGGCTTTATGGAATAGGGAGAGAGAGAGAGAGAGAGAGAGAGAAACAGAGAGAGACAGAGACAGAGTAAAAAGAATAATATCTGTTTTCACAATCAAGCGTTTGTTGCTTAATCTTTCTCATGACACTTAGCTGAAGACCAGCAGTGCTCTTTGAACTGTATTGTTGCTCCCTGCAAAGCCCCAAAACAGACTTCTATGCAATGCAATTTTTTTTCCCCTGATAAACACATTTGGTCTGGGCTCCACAGGTGCCTAAACATTTGGTTAGCTTTAGCTTACAAAAAGGCCTTTCTCCGAACAAGCCCTCCTCAACTTCCAAGAACTACGGACGACCTACCAAATCACTGCATCGCTTGCAAACCAGTTCCTTCCTAATCGATAAAGATTCGCTGCTTCCAATGCCATTTTATTTACTTTTTTGTAAAGAAACAAAAATCATGCTCCTTCTAATCTCTCCTATCACCATGGTAAAAATGTAGGGTAGTCCCACTGAAAATAGACATCAGCGGCCATAAAGTCCATAAAGTCCCTGTCTCATTTTACTACCACCCAGATTAGCTTAGTTTATATAACCTTATCTATAAAAAAACAACATTATTAAATATTACATTTTCTGTTTAAGAGAAGGGAGGAGGGGGGGAGCAAAGAGCAGCAAACGGGTTAAAAGAAAGGGCGAAGACGAGCCGCTAAAGAGAAAAATGTTGCCATACAATAAGAAATCAATTTGGATGATGCAGGTTGATAATGCCATGCAATCTTCTTCCTTGTCGGGTGACCCTATCAAAACTCTTTTTGCTTTTTAACTCTTCTCCCCGATGGTTTAAGCGATAGCTCTGAACCTTTCATTAGGGGTGGGGGAAAAGCCCCTTTCATTGGAGGTTTGTTATCAACCAGTTGCTGCTTTTTTTCTTATCGCCAAGATCCATTTGTAAATTAAACGTTATCCCTCCCTCCTCCGAAAAGAAAAAAGAAAGGAAAATTCTTCCTGTGCCTTCAAACTCGCTGATCTTATTCAAAAAGAAGGATGGTTCCCTATTGTTCCCCCAGCATGAGGACAAAAAATTCCCTTGTAGAGATTGTGTGTGGTCACTTAGAAAGACAGGGAAGGGAGGGGGGGAAAGCCCATTTAATTCAAGGATTACCTCCCTCCCTGTTCTCCTGCGACACTAAAATCAGATAATAGGTAGTTTCCATGACTTCCAAATTAAATCTTCGAAGGGAGGAGGGGGGGGACACATTAAAAAGTTCTGAGGATGGAGAAGACAAAAAAAAGGGAGAGAATATACAATTTCCCCCTTTTCTTTTTACAAGTTAAAACCAACCCAAGTTCAAAACAGTCCTTGGGCTTATCAAAAAGAAAAAAGAAAAAAGAAAGAAAAAGTAAGAAAAGAAAAGAAAATTGCATCGATTCTGTTTTCTTTTAAATGCCATATAGTTGGTGACATTGGTGCCAGATGGACACTTTTGTTTTAAGTTACCCTGTCTCTGGAGTTTGAAAATAAAGGGGAGGAGGGGGGGGAGAAAGGTTTTTGTATTGAAGTTAGTAACTAGGAATCTATTTAACGTAGGGGACATTTGATCGTTTGGTCTCTTAGCAGACAGACGTGATTAGAATTTTAGGACTTTTGGCAAGAAGACGTCAAATATTAAAGGCAACCATTTGAATATGCTGTTGGGCTTATTTTCTTGCCTAACCCAATGTATGCTTGTGTGTATATGCGTGTGAGCGTAGGCACAACACAACACACACTCAATTTAAAGCACTGTATTTTGACAACTAATCTTAAATGCTGTATCCCCTTCAGATGCTCCTTTCAAAAACCGGAGCAGCCAATTCTGAATACTGTCAGGTGAAAAACATTTTTTTTTCTTTTCTCTTCTCCCATTTCCATATCTAATGGTTGAGGCTTCCCTCTACTTTTCCAGCCAATTATGAAGGAACAAAAGCCACTCTGTTTATTCACACATTTTGAACAAAATGCATTAAAACTATTATGTCAGCATGTTCTATTAAGCTCGGCATTCAGTCGAAAAATACTTTTTCAACCAGATCACATTTATCAAAACATAAAGCCCACTTTAAAACATGGTTTTGCTTGGTCAGCTGCGCTTAGACAAATAATGACAGATTCAGAAAATAAATAACTAGTGAGGGAAATCAGAAAAAGCAACTGATGAATTATACGCAGAACAATGGATTTGCTTCCAATCTATAGCACGCCTGTGCTAAAAAAAATCAAAATGCGTCTTAAAGCCTCCTCTTCACCTTTATAACTCTGCCTTATCTGCCTAATTTGCAAAAAGACTCTGTTCTATATTTTAACTTACCTACTTTTTTCTCTCCTTTACTAGAAAGCAAGTAAAAAAAGGCTCAAATATCAAACAGAGAACATGTCCAGTTTTTTCTAGAATTGTCCACACTTTCTCTAATAGTCAAGAACTATGACCCACAGGCTAACATTAGACATATTAACATACCCATTTCATTTATTTTGGAAAAGGGAAGGCTATTGTTTTTAGGAAAAAACAGTGCATATATTTTGTAAAAAAAACCCAAAAAAACCCACCAAGTTTTCTTTTCTTTTTTTAAACATTCCTGCAAAAAATTTTCCCCCAAGAGAATACCCGAAAGGACTTCGTTTTCCCCAAATTAAATCTCACACTTTTCATTTCCCAAGGTTCAAAATAAAAATATTTTTTTTAAAAAAAAAAAGATACAAAGACACATTTTTTAATAACATCCAGCCACACTTCTAGTTTTGATAGAAACCAGGAAGCATTCTCACCAGCTTCAACCCTCCTTCAAAAATAACTTTTAAAGTTTACAGATGCTTCTTGGGTGTAATTTGCATAGAAGGTGGCTTAGGGCCTTGGGAATGGAGTAATGCATTATAGCTTAAAGTCTCTCTCCCTCCCTCTCTCTCTCTTACTCAACCTCTCCCCCCCCTTTCCCTCCTCCCCCTGCCTTTTTTAAAAAAAGCCATTCTAAGAGGGGGGAAAAGTTCTCTTTTTAAAAAATCTTAGCAACTGGAGACATAGTTATCCCAAACAGTGGAGCCTCATCACCTAACAAGTGAGATTTCCCAGTTCTCGTGTCTCTTATGATAGAAAAGTTTAAATGAATTTTCAACCCGCAGATTTGAAACAGAAAATGCAGCGATCCGCTCATCCAACCCAAACAAAATAATAAGAAAGGTCAGACTAAGATCCTGTTCTCTTTAAAAAACCCCAAACCCTGCAAATTATCCCAAGAAACTTTATGCTGGGCAAAGGCCCCTATTCCCAAAATCAGCTGCAGGATTTTCCAAATCTGTTGGTCTCTCTTAAAAAGGGCGAGAAATTCTGCCGCCAACTCAAAACACTATTTCGGGATGGCTCTCTTGGAAACGAAGGATTCTGCACGACTTCGGAGACACAGGCCCGACCACAGAAACGCAAATATAAAATTATCTTGCACCATTTTGGAAAAAGGAATAATAAACGCCCCCATCAAGGTGTCTTGAGGCAGGTCCTTAAAACTTTCCAAGCTTCCTGAATAACATCCTTTGAAGTTCATTCCTCCACATGACTGAGAATAGATTTTTTTTTTATATTCACCCGAGAGAAAACGAGGTTAAGGTTTAGGCCAGGCACCCCTCTTCTCTAACATACACCAACACCCCTTCGGATTGAATCTTCACAATTCCCATTTGCACTTCTCAGCTTGAAATGAAATCAGATTTCAACGCGGTCTAAGATACTTCCAAAAAGACATTATTAAAGAGAATTTTCCTAAGTTTCGATATGCTCCTGTCATTGTTTGCATTAAAACTAGGGACAGGAATTGGGGCATGGATTTTATACATACAGTACATACAGTACTGTATGTATGTACAGCATATATAGTACATACATACATACATATCCATGCCCCAACTCCTGCTTTATATATATATTTATATATATAATTATATATAATTATATATGTATTCTGTTTTAAACCCGCTCAGAAAAAGTTGGTTCCAGTGGAGATTGAAAACGCTAAGACCTTAGCCCATTAACAGAAATAATAACAAATGCATTTCGGTTGCAAAACGAAATAACAGACCAGGCCAGCCATTATTTTTCTTAAAAAAAAAAAACGAGAAAGAATGAATTCATTCTTCAGAAGGAAGGGGAGAAAAATGAACACTAGGTGGTGGGGTTCACTTGCAACAGTTTCTCTCTCTCTCTCTCCCGCCCCCCCCCTTTCAAAGTCGAGAAGAGTTTCACCGTGGCAGGCCCAAAATAAATCGGGGTGGGCGGAGAGCCGGTAGATCGACCTAATATCTCAACTTCAGCTCCGTAAACATTGGCAAAGGAGCAAGAAACCAGATCCAGCTCATCTGATGGTGGCGGAAAGGTGCAAAAAAACAAAAAAACCCCACACAACAAAAAAACCCAACCAGGGAGCTTCTACAATCGCCTGTCAATCTTCTCTTTGGGGGTCCGGTATCCAGAGGCGTAACAAGGGAATAAGAGTTAGTCAAAGAAGCGGGAGCTGATAAGGCGAAGCTAAAAATCAACTACCTACTTCCTGCTAAGTGACTGGCAAAAGTCTATTTGGAGGTCACCAGCTGAGAGATTGAAGCGCGCGTTGTGATCTGAACTTTGTCACCTTTGGCTGGGAAGGAAGCTGACAAAGGTTAAAACATCTGAACTCTTCACTTCTCCCTAGCTCCAGTTGGTCGGGTTTGCCTTGGCGAGTCCCCCACACACCCCCACCTTTCCCCCAACCCAGCCCAGTTCCAGAATCCAAGCGGTGGTTTCTACCAAAGCTTCCAGAGCTTAGGAGAAGACCTGCAAAAAAAAGTCAAGCTTGAGCAATCCCTCTAGACTGGGTTTCTTGACCGACACTTTTTCGCCTTGTTTTCTTTCTTTCTTTCTTTCTTTCTTTCTTTCTTTCTTTCTTTCTTTCTTTCTTTCTTTCTTTCTTTCTTTCTTTTTCTTTCTTTCTTTCTTTCCTTTCTTTTTTTTCTTCCTTCCTTTTTCTTTCTTTCTTTCTTTTTCCTTCCTTCCTTCCTTCCTTCCTTCCTTCCTTCCTTCCTTCCTTCCTTCCTTCCTTCCTTCTCTCCTCTCTCTCTCTCTCTCTCTCTCTCTCCTCTCTCTCTCTCTCTCTTTCTCTTTCTCCCCTTTTTAAATCCCACCATCCCTCCCCCCCCCCAAATTCCCATTTGCTTTTCCTTTTCTCCTTCTTTGGTCGGTCGGATTTGCTGCTCTGATAAAAACACCAACGTTTTTTTTCTACACGTACGGGACACTTTTTTCCCTTTTTGGAAGGAACTTATCAAACAAAACAGCCAGAAGTGTAAATATGGTGGAAGGAGGGGGGGGGGGGGTTGAAGGAACCAGGGAGGGAAGTGAGAGAAAGACGATCTGTTTGTGAAACAGCCCTCTTTGAGACAATCGCCCGAAAATTAAATGAAGTTTGCAGAGGACAAACCCACCGAACAATAAGGGATGTTAGGATGGTTTTTTTGGTGTGAAAAAAGTACATTTTTTTTTCCTACACAGAACTTTTTAATTGAAATGGAGACAAGTTTTTCCCATTGAAAAACATTTTTTTAAAAAAAGCCCAGCCGTTTAAAAATTATTTACCTCTAGGTAGAAGCACAAAGGGCCATTAAACAAAGTTAATCTTGCTCTATCAAGCCAAGTTGCTTTCAAAGTCTCTGATTGAAGAATGGAAAATGTCAACTAATTGCAGCAACCATCTTTGGAAGAATATCTAAGCATAACAAGAACCATAACAAAGCCTTTTAAAAAAATAAATAAAATAAATTGATTACAAAGTCCACACTGAAAGCAGAATTTTAACTTGAGCAGGACTGGCACAGATAAAATAAGGAGGTATTAAAATATGAAATCATAACTCTTTCTAATATTTTGCCTTAGAGCGAGAGAGGGAATTCTTTACATCTTACACAGATAGGTGTGCTTTCTCCCAGGCTGGTAGAATAATTCTGCAAGGAAATATATTTTTGTAGCACGCACTTTTAAGAAACTGCAGGAAAAAAAAGAAAAAAAGCACATCTCAAAAGGAAGCTGGAATTCCAATAAATTGCAGAATTACTCTATGAGTCTGCATATTTTGGCTCAGTAGTAAATTCTAATAACCTTATTTTATTTTTTTTTAAAAAGCAACATAGCAGAATTCTGTATTCCCATTGGCAAGGGATAACTTGTTGAATATACTTTAAAATTGCAAATGTTTGCTTCTCCTCTACCCTCCCCAAAGGAGTTACTAAATGAAGAGGTGAAAAAAAAAATAGGGAGAAAAAGACCAGATCAAACTGTCATTATAGTTCAACTGAGCAGTAACATTTAATTCAAACTAGCAGAGAAACTAGAGAACAAAACCATGCAGGCCAAAAAACTTTCAAACACCTGATTCGCAAAACGGAGATTGGGAACAAAACCCCACATCATCAAATGAAGAGATCGTTCTTGCTTGTAATAAATAATATATTGGGTTTTGTTTTTTTTTCCTTTTTAGAGCCATCGAGGTTTGCTTTTAATTACCCCCACCTAATCTCACTTTGATACTCTGACTGTAGGCTACACACAGTTTCCAAAAAAATGCATGTTCCTGAAAAATAGATCAAATGCAAAGGCAAATTGCCCTGACAGATGGCGTTCACCAAAGTTCGTCCACTGTATACTATTATTACAATCCTGTTAACACTATTACAAAGCATCGCCTCCAGGCAACTTAGTCGAACTATGTAAGGCAGTAGTAACCTAGATGTACTGCTGGCAGTAGAGTTATTGGGAGAAGAAGAAAAGGAGGAAAACATTTCTGCAACTCACTGCTTTTTCGAGAGAGAAGGAAGGAAGGAAGGAAGGAAGGAAGGAAGGAAGGAAGGAAGGAAGAAGGAAGGAAGAAGGAAGGAAGGAAGGTCGCATTATTTAACTGAAACAAGTCAGCAACTAAGAAAACTGAATTGTCACTTTCCTCCATATCAATGTGTTTTGATTAAAACTGATTTTTTTTCCCTCCAGCACATCACTGAACAGGAAAAGCCTGGAGAGATAAAATTACTTTTTTTTTCATAGCAAACCTGGATCGAGACATTAAACTATAGGGGGGGGGGGGATATGGCTAACAAACTGAAGATCCTGCCAAGGCCCTAAACAGAAGCAGAAGAAAGAAAGAAAGAAAGAAAGAAAGAAAGAAAGAAAGAAAGAAAGAAAGAAAGTCTTTAGAAATTCAGGATGGGAAGGGGATGGAACCAAGATCTTCCTCAAAAGAAGAGGTTTGACTCAGTTTGAAGATCACAGAATTCTTTTGTTACAACTTCTTTTGGAGAAACCTCTCCCTCCACAAAGGAACAGGATCTGAAGTATTCTACTGAAATTTATACCTGGGCTTAGAGACAAATACAGCAGTGAATACAGAGAAGACATCTTCTAAGCCCACTCTTCCCAAAAAAAGTGCTCGAAAATGCCTCCAAAAAACGCTTCCAATATCTGCCAAGGATTTGAGAAGTTATAGAAAATAACTGTCTTTTTTTTTTAAAGAAAAATTGGGGGAAAAAATTGAAACAAGACTCGATAATTTTTTGAAAAAAGTATTTTTTTTTTCTTTGAAAGAAAAAAAACTGACTTGCTCCCTTGCATCTTTGAGTGGCTGAGTTAGTTCTCAAACTTTTTTCAAACCTCTTGAACCTCATGAAAAGAATAAGGAAGGAGGGAGGGATACGGTGGAGGGGCAGTGTGTGAGAGATGGGGGAATGATAGGAACACACACACACACACACACACACACACACACACACACACACACACACACACACACACACACCGTATCCCTTCTGGCCGGCTAGGATGCTGAAAACTTTGGGTGCTGGGAGAGATTGTTTTCCAACAATGTTTGTGTGTTTGTTTGTTTGTGAGCGCGAAATTTTAAACGGCACTGTGGAGGACAGAAGCAGAGCTTCAGGGCACAGAGTGGAAAAGAGAGAAGAGAGAGAGAGAGAGAGATGAGATAGATAGATAGATAGATAGATAGATAGATAGAGATAGAGACGGAGATAGAGAGAGAGAGAGAGAGAGAGAGAGACGGAGATAGATAGATATAGATAGATAGATAGATAGATAGATAGATAGTAGATAGATGATAGAGATAGAGACGGAGAGAGAGAGAGAGAGAGAGAGAGACGGAGATAGATAGATAGATAGATAGATAGAGATAGATAGATAGATAGAGATGGAGATAGATAGATAGAAGACAGATAGATAGATAGATAGAGAGGAGAGGAGGAGAGAGAGAGAGAGAGGTAGATAGATAGAATAGATAGATAGATAGAGAGATAGATAGATAGATAGATAGATAGAGAGATAGATAGATAGATAGATAGATAGATAGATAGATAGATAGATAGATAGAGTTGTAAAGATATAAATATAAAGTTACAGATATGAATAGGCAGAATCGCATCCCTCCAAATATATTAGCACAAACGCTAGAAAGTTTTAAAGTCACATTTCTTTCTCCCAGTGGCCTGGGAGGAGGTTTCTCTACACATCCAAAACAAGAGAAATTATCATTTCCACCCAGGCTCTCTCTTCCCCCCCCCCCACCTACCCTCTCTTTTCACCTCCGCCCCCAACTGCTAATCCCAGTTTAAACACAATTTAACCTTTGTATGTGTGCCTAAGCAGATACAACCTCCTGCACCTTTAGAAACTTGCAGGCATTCCTAGATAGGCGAGAATGACCGCGGAAGAAAGTTTAATAAATATATATTAAAAAAGAGAGGTTTGTAGAGAAAGGGGAAAAAGAGAGAGCATCCCGTGCAATACTTCCAAGCGTGGCCAAGGAGATCCACCC